GGAAAAAGTATGGTGGTGTGTTCCTCAAAGAATTAAAACAAGAAATATCGTGTGATCCATTCATTCCAGTAATGGGTATTATTTACTCAAAAAAAAAATGAAAACACTAATTCAAAAAGATACGTACACCCCTAAGTCCCTTGCAGAATTATAATAGCCATGACATGGAAATAACCGAAGTGCCCCCTGGTACATGAAGAGGTAAAGGCGTCCCCTGTGCCCCATGGCGGTGGCAGGTGCTGGCCTCCTGAGCTGGGCTTCGTGGAGGCAGGGCCCGCGTGGCAGCCGGCAGTTCCCAAGCAAGGTGGGAGGTGACCCACGTGGCTGGGCCCCACGGGGCTGCCAGGGCCAGAATGGCTGGCTTGCGTGCAATGCGGCAGCCCGCTGGCCTTCCTGCTGCAGCTCCCCCCGCGGGGAGGGCAGCCGACGTTTCAGGGCTGGGATGACGGCCTGACAACGCGTGGGAGGGGCCGGGGGGCGTGGCCCAGCTCTGCGCCTGGTCCCCACCCCCTTTCCGCTTCCCCCACCCCCGTGCACTCTGGACCCCAACATTGGAGTTAATTGCTTTTAGACATCTGCCACTTTGTAAAAAATGACTTACTCCTATGAGCCACCTTCTGAGCATCCTCCTCCGGGACAGGAGAGCGCCTGCGCCTCCAGCTCAAGCCTGGTGCTCATCTCTGTGGCTGTGGAGGCCCCAAAACACGCTCTAGGCGCCACAAGACACGTTGCTGCCCTAGGGAGCACCAGACTCAAACCCGAGACTGGGCCGTACGCAGGCTTGGGCACGGCCAGATTATTCGGACAGACCAATTCCAGCCCACAACTTCCTTTCTCCGCAATTTGAAATTGTAATAGAAACGGAAGCAGAGATTACACCTGAAGTTGTTGAAAAAGCAAACGAATCAGAAATTATGGGAAGCATGGGTGAAGCATCTGAGGAAGAACTGGATTCCATGGCAAAACATAAATCCAAGGAAAATAAAATTTTCCAGAAGTTTAAAAATAAAATAGCTCTTGAGGGGCACCTGGGTGGCTCCCCCGGGTAAGCGACCAACTTCTGCTCAGGTCATGATCTAGCAGTTGGTGAGTTCAAGCCCCACGTTGGGCTGTGCTGACAGCTCAGAGACTGGGGCCTGCTTAGGAGGCCTGTGTCTCCCTCTCTGTCTGGCCCCCCCTGCCTCCACTTGTGCCGTCTCCCTCTCAAAAATAAACATTTAAAAAAATTAAAAATAAACAGAACAGCCCTTGAGCCAGAAGAGGTTCTCAGATATGGCAAAGGGACTGCACCCATCTGGATCCCTGAAAATATCCCTCAAGGAAACGACGTTCCATATTGCCCCTGGGGTGTCAAGAGAATACCTGAATTCCAGGTCATGCGTCAGCTGCCCAACTACCTGACGGCTGACAAACTGGCCACAGGGGTCAGTGGGGGGTTTGGGCTGTCCTCCCCTGTGCTGAATGTCGTAGGCTGGGGATTCGCTACAGAGAGGGCATTCTTTGAAAGCAAGTTAGAACAGATACCTGCTGGAGATGTCGTAAAGCCTTGTAAATGCTCGTAATCTCTTAAACTTTGTAATTCCATTTCTAGGACTTTGTCCTAAGGAAATAATTACCAAAGACAAAGATGTTGTTTTAGATGAGTTTACAATGTGTAAATATTAGTGAAACAAAAATGTCCGGTGACAAGCATTTACATAAATTTTGGTGTATCCCTACAGCAGAAGGTAATGCAATCTTAATGGTACAGACCTAAGGGCACATCCAATAAGATACAGGTTTAAACTGACACCAAGATGTTCATAGCATGTTCATATCTTTATAAAAGTATGTATATATGTGTACATGCACAGAAATCTGGGAAGATACATACTTGGTGTGAACTAATTAACTACGAATGGTGGGACTAGATGAAGTAATTGTTTTACCTATGTTTCTTTCTACAAAAAAATGGGGTAATTACCTAAAAAAAAAGGTTACATACACACACACACACATGTATATATATGTGCATGCATGCAATGGAGTATTACTCAGCCATAAAACAAAAGGAGATCTTCCCATTTGCAACAACATGGACAGACCTAGAGGGGATTATGCAAAGTGAAATTAGTCAGGGAAAGACAAATACCATGTGATTTCACTTATATGTAAATCTAAAGAACAAAACCTACAAAGACACTCTTAAAAACAGAGAACAAACTGGTGGTTGCCAGAGGGAAGGTGGGTGGATGAAACAGGTAAAGGAGACGAAGGTACAAACTTCCAGGTATAAAATAAATCATGGAGATATAAATTAGTACCTTCCAGGTATAAAATAAATCATGGAGATGTAAATTAGTACCTTCCAGGTATAAAATAAATCATGGAGATGTAAATTACAACCTAGGAAGTACAGTCAATGGGGACAGAAGCGGACCACATGTATGGTGCACACTGAGTAATGTACACAATGGTCAAGTCACTATGCTGCACCCCTGAAATTAATAGAGGTTAACCATCTTTCAATATGGAAAAAAGGTTTTTGGCTTATTTTTAATTTTGTCATTTGAGAGGATAAATGCCAATGACTGAAAATGTCACATTCTGAAACTATACTAGGTAAGGCATACAGCAAACAGAGCAGTCAAAAGGGGGGTGCGTTACTTTATCACCATCAAACGACTAAATCTTAAAGGGAGACCAAGGTTCTGCTTTACGGCAATTTAACTTTTGAGCTCCACACTGCCTCATTTCAACGTTATCCAATTACTCAACGATCTTCTCCAGATCCTTCCCCACCCTAGCTGATTGGTGCTCTTGGCCGTTTCCTCACTAGCTTCAGACAGGCAGTGACAGCTTCCCAGCACTTTATACCAGATGAGCTGGACCCAAACCTGCCAGATGGGAGAGATCGGTTTCAAAGAAAAGGAGGGACACAGAGAAGAATGCACGTACGTGTGCTACACCTGTATCACCTCAGACCACGATGGCCCAATGTCCGGATCCGGAGAGCCGGGCCTCAAAGGCTCCAGACTAACCTCCACCCCCGAGGCATGCTGTTGGCCCATTACACAGTATTAAAACAAAGACAAAGACAGAGCTGGTCAAGGAACCAAGCAACCAAGGTACTAGCCCCGTGTGGACACCATCTAGCTGTGCAATCATGAACAAATCTGTTCATCTCTGGATCTCTTTCCTACATAGACAGGGAGCATTAGAGCCAATGCTCTCTAAAGGCCCTTCCAGCTCCACCACTGGGAGACTGAGACCCCTCCAAAGTGGGGCTGTGGCCTCCTGCTGGCATTCCACGCGCCTCCCGGAAGACGGGGTTCTCCAGTCACTAACAGGGGCCTCCTCTCCCAGCACCGCTGGCTTAGAGCACAGACCCCTGCCCAACGAGCCTGTTGTCCTCCAAAGGTAAACAATACAGGACAATGCTACATCAGTGAGGGGTGGCCCTGTGTTACTGGGGCAGGAAGAAATCCTACCTAGTCATCAGGACAATCACAGGCCATACATGTAAGGGCCCAAGACATGTTACTACTATGATTAGGATAAAAAGCACATCCAACAGCAAGTGTCTTACACACGAGACTCCCAACAATACCCTTGCGATTTAGGTCATTAAAATATACGGTAAATTATGAATGTGGCACCCAAATAGCTATCCACACAGAAATGCCTTCCTAGGAAAAAGAAAGCTCTATCACAGCAGATTCTACATCTTTGATTGACTGAGGGACATTTAATTCAAAAGCTGAGATTTTTCATGTGGTTCAATACTGTCCTATGGCAGAGGCAAAAACTGAGCCCCGAGCACTCACAGGACTGGACTGTTAAGTGGGTGCCAGAGGCAGGCGAGTGGGTCCACCGTTCCCACGGTCAGGGTCTTCCCAATGTGGCACAGGGAGTGGGGTGGGAGATGGAACATGTGGCCTAGGGGGGCAGCTGGGTAAGGGACTGACCCAGACAGAGGCACTCAGTAGCCCAGAGGCCAGTGGGGCAAAACACAGGCAGCCCTTAGTTTCCCCTACTCCTGGGCCTGCACTTACCCATGTCCGCGAGGCACTGTCTATACCCCTCCTCACTAGCCTACCTTGATCAACCTTCGGTTCATCAGAACTGTGACTTTTTTCACAATTAAGGGAATGACGGGATGTCAGGGGGCAGCCCACTTGAAGTGTTGACCCAGGGACCCCACTGGGTAAGAGGACAACGGGTAACCCACCCCTCTGGCCTCTCCACTCCCAGGAGCTGTGACCCATTAGAAGAATCGGTACGAGGGGCCAGGGTAAACCAGGGTTTTTATCTGGGAAACAGGAGCATTCCAGCACTTCTCTGGCCCGAAAATAATGCAGGAACCTAGAGAACCAAGTTACCACCCGCGCACTTCCAATTACTGACTCGGGCAGAGCAAAGGCAAGCTTTCTGGAGTGGCTTGTGTGTCACAAGCATGGCCCAGGAGTGCGCACTTGTGCCCTGTGAGGCTGCAGTCTACCCCGGGGCCCGGGCCCAGTCCAGCACACCACACTGGAAAGGGCCTCTCCTTTCCTTTTAGGGCTGCAGAAACCATAAATATCAGTCTCATTTACCAAAGACGTTTCTAAAGGGTGTCCTCCTTTCTGTCCCTGGCGGGAGTAAGGACAGTAACTGGGGTTGCCCTGGAGAAATGACACTGTGATTCTGGGCTACAGGGGCTCTGAAGACTGACTGCCAGGCTTGGAGTAAAATCCCATGTCACCTGCAGAGGCCAGCCATGGGACAATGGACAGGCGACTCCAGCTGTAAACTGAGGACACTCCCACTGTGCACCCTGCCTCAAAGTTTTACTGGAAGGGAACTACTCTGTCTTCTGGTGTTCCTGGAACACAGTATTATACTTCCATTAAGTGGATTCACGCCAAGGCGAAAGCATGTTGCTTCTGGAGTGACAAAGGTGATCTTTTCACTGCCCTTTCACGGCTCTCACTTGCAGCAGGTACGTGAGGAATAGAGGATGAGGTGCCCCCTGGACTTACCTGCGGCCCCCGCCGTAAGGTCAATGGCAGCTTGGATGGCAGGGCTGGACTTCATGTTTGGCCCCTCCTCTGCTGGGTTCCGTGGAAGGCAACTCTCTGGAGCTTATGATGGGCGTCTCATAGCCCTGAGAGGAGACAAGAGCTCACCATCAGTGGGGCCTCTGCAGCTCACCATCTACTGGGACCTCAACTTCCAGGAGCCGGGAGATCGGCTCTACATTTCTCCAAAGAATGGCAGTCAAAAGTGTCAGTGCAGCTTAGAAATTGGCCTCCCCTTCTCCCCGCCCACCACCTCCTCATAAAAACTCCCAAGTCAGGAACCTGAGTATCAGTGCTATAGCCACGGGGGGGGTGGAGGCATTTCAACCGACCTTCCTGAAAAGTTTACACATTAATGCCAAATCTCAGACACCCAAGCTACATCAAGCTAGTTTTTCAGAGCCCTAAGTCCACTAGGCTCAGTTTTAAATTCAGACAGTGGCCTGTGTTGGGTCCCTAAAAGGAGGTCACAAAACAGTAGGTGTGGAAAGGAATGAGTTAGGAAGAGCTCTACGGGAGTGACACATGCCTGGGTCTGAATGCCTGCTGTCCCCAGCAGGGTGGCCCCTTGGGCCCCTAAAGCTGGGAGCCCCACATATAAAAGATGAACAACAGAAGTATTACACTACAAAGGCAATCACAAATAACGGCGTGGGACAGATGTTCTGAGAAGTACAGAGCGTAGCACCAAACCCTGTCATCCCAGTCCCTTCCAGAGCTTCTCAACCATCAACGTGTACACACATCACCTGGGGACCTTGTGAAACTACAGATTCTGATGCCATAGGCCTCACTTGAGACCAGAAACCCTGACAGCCAGGAGGAGGAGGAGCCTCCCAGAGGAGGCTGATGGTGGCTGGTCCCCAACCACCTTTTAGCAACACCTGGTCCACTGTGTGCTCAATGTGCTTGATAAGAATCAATACTTGTTAAATATTCAAATACCCAGGCCTCTCTCCTACTGATCTTGATTCAGCAGGTTTAGGCTGGACCCTAAGAAGTTTGGAAGAACTAGAGGCTACCCCACTGTCTTGAGACAAAAATCACCTACTGCAGAGGGAGGGACTTTATAAATGCGGATTAAAAAAAAAAAAAAAAAAGGAAAGGTGGCTTTTAAGATATTTAAATTAAATTTAAATTTAAAATTTAAAATTAAATTTAAAATAAAGGATATTTTAAGATAACCAATTCAGCAACCAATTCCGTGTAGTTCTCAAACTACGTAAGTGACTTATTTGTGGGTAACAAGGAACAATTTTTATTCATCACACTAAAGACCTTTGTGCTCCCTGTCAGGGTACCTCTCAGAGGGTGGTGGGACGGCTGGATCATTAATGAAGGCCAATGTCAACCTAGACAGATCAGCAGAAAAGAATTTTATCCACTCACAAGTTTTTTAACCACTTGAAGCATGTTGCCAATGACCAGGCACCAAGAATCTTGATTTCTTTACAAAAAATTGTAAAACCAGCAACCACAAAAGCACAGTACCAGACTTGAAAAAGCAACAACTAAGTTAGACAAGACACGAATTTTATGTTGTTGATAGGACTGGAGAAGCAAGTTCGATAACTAAGTTGATGAGGTGGGAGGAGCCTGGCTGGCTCAGTCCATGGAGCATGGGACTCAATCTCCGGGTCTTGAGTTCAAGCCCCACCTGGGCAGAACGATTACTTAAGAAAAAAATAAAGTTGATAAGGTGGTGGCCATCTGGTACCTAGAGAAGGATTTCAGCGTCCGAATCCAATCTCCTCTTTTTCCAGATGGAAAACGGAGGCCAGAAAGAAGAGCTTTTCAAGGTTTTACAAGTAGTCAGTGGATTCCACTGAAGTCTTGCCTTTTGGGTCTGTGCTTACTAACCAGTGTTTAATCCAGAGTATTCCAAGCTGACCAAAAAGAAAAAAAATAAACACTCAACCCTGAGTTTCAGAGGAAAAATGGAGGCAAGTGGGGAGAGGAGTCACACAGGGCCCAACCAATGTGGCTTCTCAGAGAGGTCAATTATTTGGGTGTGGACATTTCTTTCTTAATTCACAGAGAAAGAAAGGCATTGATGGCACTGTGTCATCAAGTGTGAATTCAACCCCTTCAGGTAAGCCAAACGTAAACACATTGAATCCTACAAATGACTTCTAGATTAGGATAATAAACAGTGATGGGAACAGACCAACTCAGAACGTATGGCAATTGACATACTGGGGAACTTAAGAAGGCTTCAAGAAGTCTTGAAAAAGACCAACGGCTCAGGGGGGAGGAGGGACGGAAGGCAAGACTGGTCAGCAGGAGTTAAAACTCATTCCTGGGCCAGTGGAAGAGAAAAGCTGAATCGTTCCAGCGACCCTTTACCCCTTCTGCAAAGGACACGTGCGTCCGACTACAGGGAGAGACAAATGACGGGGCCAAACAAGCCTTCTCGTTCCCTGGGGAAATTAATTTCTCGATCGGGAGAACCCCGAGGGCGCATTCTCCACCAGGTAACAGAGACTGCGGAAAGATTCCAGCTTCAGGCCAAAGCCGGCGCGGGAGGAGGCCGCCCGCCGAGCTCCGAGAGCCGGGGCGCCAGGTGCTGAGATGCCAACCCGTTTGGCCGCTGAGCAGCCGGCCGGGCGCTCCTGCTCCCGGACTCGGGGTCCGGGTGGGCACACGGGCAGCTCAGGGAGGGCAGCTCCCAACTTTCTCTTCCCGGCTGGAACGTTCGCTGACTCTGCCCCCAACAACCTGCAGGAGTCTCCCATTCATAAGCGCCTCCGTCCCCCACCCCCACCCCGGGCTCGGGCACCAGCGGCGCGGCGCCCGGAGGCCCGATGCCACTCCGAGGGAGCAAAAAGGGCAACATTCCCGGCAGGTGAGCACCGCGGGCAGGAGGCCGCGGAGCCCGCAAGTCTCCAGCGAGCCCCGGCCGGCGGCTCCCGCGGGTCCCTGGGCACGTGTGCGGCGCGCCGGGCCGCGGACCCCTGCCCCCTGCCCGGCCGCCGGGGAAGGTCACGCCGCCCTGGCGCGGAGGCCCGCCCGCGCCCCGCTCCCTCCTCCCCGCGCGCTCCCTGCAGCCCGGAGCGCCGGCCGGGGCTGCGCTCACCGCCGCGCCAGCTGGCCGCGTCCTGCCCGGGCTCCGCCGCCGGCTCTCGGCTCTGCCTCCGCCGCCCGAGGCGGCCGCTTAACACTCGCGTCGGCCGCGGGCCGGCCCTCCGCCCCGCCCCCCCTCCCTCCGCGCGGGAGCAGTCGGGGCGGCGACCCCGCGGGCCCTGGAGCGCCCCGGCGGCGGGGGGCGGGCTGCGCGGGGCCCGGGCGGGGGAAGCGGAAGTCGGCGGCCGAGGCCCGCGCGGTCGGCCCGCGCAGGCCTCGGGTCCCCGGCGCCGGGAGCGGGTGGGGGTGCCGGGCAGCGGGTGGGCAGCGGTGTCGGTGTCCGGGTTGCTTTTCTTCCTCCAGGTTCGCGAGGCCCTCGTGAGAGGCGGGACCCCAGGTGACCTCAGGGCGGGGGTGGAGGAGTTAGGAGCACCCACTAGGTCCTTAGGCCGGGCTACCTTGGTAGAACTCAAGGCCTCAATTTTAAACTGTAATTGAGTATAAAAGTACTGGAAACTGTAGTGATGAAAAGCACATTCGTTTACTGCCATGAACACACACACACACACACACACACACACAAAATATTTTCCCATTCTGCCTACCGCACGGAAATCCATTTTCACCAATGACATTCTAGAAAGTACGCGGAGAGATGAAAACTAGCTATCAGTTGGCCTCGCTGATCTTTTAGTTTCTAATGAATTATAGCTATGCGATTTCTATGGCTCTCTGACATTTTATGAAAAAGCACTATTCAAGGAATCGTATATACCGGGAGTAAAGGAATTTTCTCCAGGGCCCTAAAGCAAAGCACTAACACCTACTCAATTGGAAAGATCTTGGTCTAGTATTACTTACAGCTGCTCAACGTAACTCAGTCACAACTTTCCTATTTCTTTGGTTCAGTCTTCATGTATTTATTTTCATTGTCTGCACTGTTTTCTTCCTTCAACCATGCTATCTTTTTCTTTTACAATTTATGTTTGTCCAGTTTGGATGGACTATTGACAAGGTAAGTTAAAGTGATGGCGGGAGGGGGCAGGGACTTCAATACTCCACGTGACTTGTGTCAGTGCTTAAGGGTGAATGCCACCTGGAACAGACCTTCCAGAGGTAAGAGGTGCCATGAAGGTGCCAGAGCCCCTGATAAATGGGGGCACTCAACAAAACAGCATGAAACGGACTTCACGGAATCAGCACTTTAGAAGTCAAACTTCTGAAATGTAATTCAATTACAGAAACAAGCCAGGGAGTTTGAAACGCTTGTCCAAAGTGGCTTGTGACATGGGAAGCCGACTCAGGAGTAGAACCTACAGTTAGAACACTCTAGAGGACTATGGGACTTTCAGTATCCCCTGGTCCAGTGGCTTTTGCAAACTAGAACAGTGAGGTCCGAAGGAACCCTAATTTAGGGCAGATCCAGATCTGCAGTTACAGACTGGAAAGAGCACTGGACTTGGAGCCAGAAGGCTTGGGTAAAAATCTGTGTGGCTTTTAATGAGCCATTTAACCTTTTCACGTGACTGCACGGTGGCCTCTGATCCTGAAGGAGCAGTCCACCCCGTAGGCCACTGCTGCTCTGGGAGCCTGAGGGGCAATCCACTGGGAGGGCGGGAGGGCAGGCGCTTGGCCAGCTGACCGTGTGCACCCTTGCTGAGCGCCCCCCCCCAACCCCCGCCCGTCTCAGGCTTTGTCTTACCTCCCTTGAGCACTTTCTTCTCTCACAAAGACTGTTCCAGACTCTCCTCACTCCTCCTACATTTCTTCTCTCCCTCACCTCTCCTCCTCAGCAACCTTAGCTTCCATTTAGTCCCATAAGCTTAAGAGAAACAACCAGGAACATTTGTGCAACTTTTTAACCCCTACCTTACGAAGTTACCTTTTTTGCACAAACCCATTTCTGCTGTGTTGCTTGCTGTATCCTGGTGCCCTGCAGCGTGGCTGGCACCCGTGATGCTGGTGAAGGAAACTGAGGCTCAGAGAGGCGGAACACTTGCCCAGAGTTATATAGATACTAAGGAAAGAGCTGGGACACCACAAAGTTCTGTCCAGTTCTGAAGTTGATGTTTGTAACCATGACCCTCCACAGTAATACCTTCCAGAAGGCTTCCTCTTAAAAGCAAGAGGGTTTCAGGAACCAGTTCTTTCTCCTGAAATAGATCTCCCTGCATGATATTGTATAAAATCACCTCCACAGCTTAAAACCCCGCACAGGTGTGGCTTTAGGAACAGAGACAAAAATACAAGATGTTGAAAAGCTTAACAGCTCACAGAAGCTCAGAGAACTGATTGGAAAAATCACCTGCTTGGCATTAAATCATGAAAGTGACCATGTGAACTTTGTTCTAAGGGTAATTCCCCAGGAATCCAATGGCCTCTTGGGAACAAGGACTTTCGATTCCTGCATCCCTGCTGTCAATATACGTGGGTTCACCCCGTGGCTTCTCAGATCTGGGGTCCAAACAGCAAGCGAGTCAGTGCACTGACCCCTTTGCTGTGGTGGTTGTTTGCTGCACTGGGATTGTGCAATCCGGGGACATTAGGGCAGCTGACTGTGTGCTGAGGGGGCAGGTATAACACAGGTCAGAGGTGAGGGGACAGAGTGGCTAACATGGAGAAGGAAGACTTGGCTATTTCGACAGTATTTCACAATGCACTAGTTAATGATACCAAAAGGAGAAATAATTTCATTATTTGAAGCTTTTTGGCCCTAATACCACGTGATGTGTTTGAACAAAGTGTTAATTGGAGTTGCAAATAATTCAAAAACGTAAATCATCTCTGATTCAAGGGTCCTTTTAATTAATGAGACTGAAGAAAAAACTGCTTTGATTACACAACTCCCATTGAATATTGTTGGCTGCTGATGTAACACTTACGGAAGACTCTCCCAAATCTTTCTTGGAATCAGGTAGAGTTTGTATTTGCAATGAACATGAATTTGGATTTTTTCATCTGTGTGGAATAAGAGGGCATTTTGTATCCCATGAAAGACTTGTTAAGACAATGTTTTAAAAGGGGTGACAATTTCTTTTGTCTTTTCCTTGACAGCTTTTAAGGGTATAAGCAAGTAAATAAATAAATAGGTGAGAAAATCAGCTGAGATGTATATTTCATGAGCCTTAGATGTGAATTGGATATATATATCATTTTAAACAATAACAAAGACTTAGGATAAATGCCCATAAATGGATAGAATTCAATGGATCATCAATAAGAGGAAATACTATGACATAATTTTGAAAATAATTGTTTTAAATCATATGCTTTAGGATATATTTGGCTATAAGTAAGAGATGCCCATCTACTAGTAGTATATTTATTTTGTATATGAAAAAAAATCTGGAAATAGGAAATTCCAGAGTTGGGTAATTTAACAGCTCAAAAGTATCTGGGACAGCTTCTCTGTGATTCTCTTGACTCTTCCCTCATGATCACAAAGTGGCTGCCACAGCTCTTTTACACTTCACATGCAACACACAAGGGCAGGAAGGAAGCATTCTCCATATTCTTTTTACCACACAAAAAATCTTTCCCAGAAGCCCCCTGTTAAGCTTCCCCTTGTACTAATTAGTCCAGAAGTGAGTCTCATGCTTGCCCAAACATAAACACTGGGAAGAGAATGGAGTTACCATATTTGGTTTAGAACAGGGGTCAACAAGCAAACTTTGGAAAGGACCAACCAACTAGTAAATATTTCAGTGAATATTTTGCAGGGCATGTAATCTCTGTCACATCTATTCAACTCTGCTGCTGTAAACAAAAGCAGCCAGAGACATGGTAAAGAAAAAAGTACGTTGTGTTCCAATAAAACTTTATTAAAGTTTTTATTTTTCTTTTTCAAATTTTTATTTAAATTCTAGTTAACATACAGTGCAGTATTGGTTTCAGGAGTAGAATTCAGTGGTTCATCACTTACATACACCATCCAGTGCTCATCATAACAAGTGTCCTCCTAACACTCAGCAATTGCACCACTAGGTATTTACCCAAAGGACACAAAAATAGAGATTTAAAGGGCTATAGTCACCTCGGTGTCTATAGCAGTGCTATCAACAATAAGCAAACTATGGAAAGAGCCCAAATGTCTATCAACTGATGAATGGATAAAGAAGTGGTATATATATATATACACAATGTATATATATACAATGGAATATTACTCAGCCATTGAAAAGAATGGAATCTTGCCATCTGCAATGACATGGATGGAGCTACAGTGTATTAGGCCAAGTGAAATAAGTCAGAGAATGACTTTTATCTATGAGCACTGAAATTTGAGTTTCATGTATTTTGACCTGTCACAAAATATTATTTTGATTTTTTCAACTTTTTAAAACTTTAAAAAATGTTTTGGATGGTTCATGGCCATACAAAAAGAAATGGCGGGCCAGATCTGGCTAGCAGGCTTTGGTTGGTTTTTGACCAACCCTGTTTTGGACCAATGGTGACTTATCCACTTGGGACTGTGGGAGAGGCCCACAGTGAGACATCATCACTGCAGACCCAGGTGGGGAGGGGACAGAATTCTGTAAGGCAATCAGGAATGTTCCCCAGAACCATATAAGCATATGGGGAAATGCTTAGGGATATAATCATTTTTAAAAAGCAGATTGAAAGTCACTATGGACTGCAATTGAACAATCCCAACAATTTCTATCTGTTGAAATACCCCGACTATTTACCAAGACCTATACTAGACACAGGCACCTCAAAAGTCTTTTCATGATCCCTTGTTCTCCGAAACAAATCTGTTCACTACTTCCTATCAGTAACAAACATTCATTTAGCACTGATTGGCTCCGTGTGAACCTACACGAAGTGCTGGAAAGACAGAAATGAAAGAGACAATGGCTAGCCTCAGAGAAACCTCAGTCCGAGTAGAGGAGGAAGAAACAAAGAATTAGAATTTGGGGAGGATATGCAGCAAGAGGGGTGTGCGTAGCATGGCGTCCCAGAGAAGGGAATAAATAAAGCGTGGAAAAGAGGGTTTCAGGACGGGCCTCCCCATGTCAGGGTGGGTTTTGAAAGACAAATGGCCCTTTCTTAGGAGGAAAGCCTGTTGACACATCACTCAGAACGCTTAGTTGCTATCAGCAGAAGCC